AAACCGAACTTTTTGTCAGTGCGAACCTCAACCTGAGCTGGGTTTTAAAAACAAACGATCAAACTGACGTTTGTCAGAAAACAAGCAGACCAAATCTTGATACCCGATCCAGGTTGGAACTGAATAATAAACGAATTCGCTATTAGTGTGTATCTCTTAAATGCATAAAGAATAGCCATTGCTTAAGCTCCCGTTTCCCACCAGTCAGTTAACTGACCTTAGCTAACCTAATATCATTGTGGCAACTCTCTATGCGGCAGGGGAACTATGCCATTAGCGCGCTAAGAGTTGTTAGACCACTGACATAGACGCCTATTCGTGGGTGACGAGGCACTTGGTGACATTACAGCGAGCTTGGCGATTGTTATAGCATTTTTGAGTGAACTACCAGACAATCATGACAATGTGATCGCTGCGCCTCCAGATCTCCCTTTAAATCGACTCACTGTGCCAATTTGTCAATAATGCATGACATTTTTGACGGGGTTGCTGGCTTGTTTGGTCCACTGTTCGGATATACAAGTGGCAAGCCTTCCCCTTCACGGATCGCTCCAAAAATTGCTGCAAACGAACTGCAAATATAATAAACAAAATTATTGTACATGAAAAATATGACAATTAATCAATTGATAATAGCAAACCAATTTGGATGCTTGTCATCTTAATATTGGATGATGTTAGTTCAATTTTTGAAACCCTACGTAGACGTAAATCAAACGAAAAACAATTTAATAGTGAAATACTGTTCATCAGGGTTCCTTCCATTCATTTTGGCTAAAAAAATGTTTTATAAAATTATGGAATAATAAGATATTATAATAATATTTTGTTTGTGTAAGCAACAAGAAAAGATTGTGGAGTTTGTGTTTGACACATAATACCAGCCAATGTTGCTACATGAGAGTCGCAATAAGCGATTTTGTCATTTATCTCACCCACTCTTCACTCTTCACTCTTCGCGAAGAGGCGATCAGAAAATCGCTCATTGTGGCTCTGTCAAAGCTAAATTTGCAGATTTTATGTGTCAAACACAAACTTTAAAAATTTGTCTTGTTCCTTACACATACAAAATACCATCATAATATCGTATTATTCCATAATTTCCTAAAACATTTTTTTAGTCAAAATGAATGGAAGGCACCTTGCTGTTCATATGTCTCTCGAATGATTATTGATTGTAAGATTAATTTCAAATATTGCTAATTGCATCTGAAACTGGACTGTTCTAAAAATGCAAAAAGTGTGATAAAAGTGCACGTTTCCGTCAAATCGTTTTGATGTCTTGGGATCACTCATTGCTTGCATTATAAGGAATAAGTGCACCGAAAACACCAAGACGATTAGACGTAAACTTGCAGTTTTATCACACTTTTTAATAAGTGAAAACGCGCTTATTAGTCCAATTTGGTGTGAAACGCGCAATATTTATATTTATATTTATTTGCAAAAAAAAAAAACAAATGGACTTTCTGGGCAGGATGACATTATAGCAGGGGTGGCATGGCTAAGTCTCGTGCTGAATGATGGTAATCGTTATTATTTTATTCCAGAGGTTGTTAACTACTTTGAAATTTCTCGGATTTTGCTTCTCTGGAGATGAGTCCATTACATGCGATTGATTGTTTTATTGATTTTGGAAGTAACTTATCTTCGGAATTCTCTGCTAGAACAAAACTAATGGTGTTATTGTTTCTGTCCGAAATCCTTATCTGAAACACAACACACATGAGTTAGCAAAATGTTGACACAGCAAATTAGTATTTTTAACTACCAATACGCCTACAATTGAACACCTAATTGAATTTCCACTTTACTATGCGACTCGAGACGCGATTTCCACCAAAGTTTCACGTACCGCGTGTTTAACCATGTTTCTTTCGAATGTTCGAAAGTTAGAATGCGAGCGATTATTGTAATTGTAATTGTTCAGTGCATAGGCTGTGCCTTCCGCTAAGAAGGCTTATCTAGGGACCAACCCCCTAGTCTATACACCTACTGTCCTTCCCGTTGCACTCGTCAGCTCGTGCGATACTCTAGACACACATGGGTGGTCGTATCCGGGTCCTCCCCTGGGTAGGCTCGTGTCCGTCCAGGTTCTGGTACATTAACTTATCTATATGCATGGTAATTATACTTTTAAAACTCACCTTTTGATTATAATGTCGAAAATGCTGAAACTAAATAAAGGTTAGCGATCCATATAAGGTGTGTGCTGCGACGGAGTAGTAATTGAAGGAAATGAGGTTCTGATGTGAAGTATAGGTAATTCTAAAATAGGTAAATCAATTAATCATTAGCTGCTAACAGTTACTAATAAATGGGTACGATAAATCACTCATCAATGAGTATTGCCACTCCCACTGAAAAATGGGCAAAACCTTAATCATAAATGGATATTCGATTCCTACCGTGTATTTAAAGTAAAGTTAGGATCTTATCAAGCAAGCACACACCTTTTACGATTCTTATCCTACTTACGGTTTCCTAGATACAAGCTTCGTCCAGTATACATTGGCTGTCTCCAACCGGCATGATCCTTTCTGTCTGCTTCCTCTTGCCGGTGCAAGTTTAATTCTTCTTTTCTTGTTCGAATTTTCTCCTATTGAACTTCTGGCAGTTAATATTAGTACATTATAGGAACAAAGAAAGAAATAGAACAAGTTAAGTGTGAGCCGCATGCATTGGTTACTTATTTGGGTCATGGTGTTGTCTTCCCTATTTATTTGCCTCTATTCGCTCTCATATCGCAACGTTTAACTCACCCCCTTCCCTCACACTATTATGGTCGGAAAAGAGAACCCATATTTAGTAATCTATCGCGAACTGCGATGCAGAAGATATTAATAGCAAACTAATCTGGAACTGGTCTAAGACATATCCAGAACAACATGTGAAAAGGGCATACAAGCTTTTTGTAAACAATCCTTCTTATGCCCTTTTCTCGCCACCCATATGACACCAACGCAAACCTTTAACATCACCGGGTAGGGGACACTTTCCCCTTCCCGATGATATTGCTGGTTTGCGTGGGTGACCCTCGGTTGGTGAGAAAAGGGCCTACAAAGGTTTGTTTACAAAAAGCTTGTATGCCCTTTTCACATGTTGCTCTGGATATGACCCAGTGAGTATTGACACCTCACACTGTTGTGAATGAGCACGGACGCGATTGCACTACCAGGAAAAAAGCACTTCAAAGGATTCAGAACAAAATTCTGAAGATGATTTTGAAGTTGCCTCCCTGGTACAGTACTACCGAGGTACATAGAATTTCGAATGTTGAGACTTTAGAAGTAATGTCCAACAAAATAATGAATAATTTCAGGCAAAAATCGTTGCAATCCTCAATTGCAACGATTAATTCCCTTTATACTTAGATAAGATTTAGTTTTAGTTTTTAGTTTTAAGATATCAATTGTTATACTGACATGCAGGTTTAAAAAACCTGTTTAAAATACTTAATTGCCAAGACATGAACAATGTAAAAACACTTAGATATATATCATAACAATTAAGGCTGGTACGTTACTGCAGTAACTGGAGCACCTAGGTTAAAAATGAAATGTAATTTATTTTGAATTTGGAACAAATAAAGAGTTAAAAAAAAAAAAAAAAAAAAAAAAAAAAAAAAAAAAAGCACGGACGCGAGATTTACTAGAGTATTAAATGCAAACGCAAATTCAAAATAAAACTTGACAAGACATCGTCAATCCCCTTATTCTTGGGCAGGGTCTGACGATGTGAATCTGATTTTGATCAGTGAACGGGCCCCATATGGTACATTTTCTCACTATGAACCTGTCATTTCCAGCCTATCTGAACTATTTAATAAATGGAAACCATAACATGGGTTACGCTTCCCCTAAGCGGGCCCTCCGCATCCTATCTCTGTCTTATCTCAAATGCCAATGGTTTGAATGTATCAATATATACATAGGAAATGACGTTCAATCAAATAAACCCATACCCCACTCACTTGACCAGGCTTCAGAATCGTCCAGTGGGCAGTGCGCTCTACACTCCAAGTTCCCTTTCTTTCAAATTCACCCCAAATTTGATATTTTACCCCTTTGAGTGTTGATTAATCACAATGAAACATTGTGACAGAGCACGGACTTGAGGTTACTATGGCGGTAAGCTCCAACTCGGATTAACTTTTAATACCGTCCCTGTTTGGATGATCTGCGAATTGTTTGCATATCATCGTGTTGAATAACTATGATGTCGACATCAAAGCAGCCGGACATTCTTGATCGGGACTTTATCCGAGGATAATACCGATTGGAGCTTACCGCCACTAGAGTATTAAATAATCTAGGTCCTATTTAGGATTATATCTGAAAAATCCAAATCTGGCCAATGCCCACCAGAATGCGAGCGATTATGTGACATATATCGAATGATTTTAGTCATGGTGCATTCGCAAAAGAAATTCTTTCTGTTTTGAGTTGAAAATTATCCATTATACCTAGCATATGCTCTGTAAATGGTTCACTTACGGAACATATGTTAATACATTGATTTACGGTTTAGCGCCTTTGCAGTCAATTTAATTGTTTATGAGGTTAGCACATATCATCGGTAAGAGACGTGTGTGAAAATTTGCGAAAATATCTAAGGGCACCGGTGGGATTCGAACCCACAATTCCCATTCAGAACACGGGTGCATTGCCAATTAAAGAACGGCATTGATTTTTGGCTGCAACTCATCGTCTTCGTGCTATAAATTAGGGTACGGCCAGGGTAGACGCGATTCGCGACCAATTCAAAAGAATTGTATTATTTATTATTATTCCTTGCGTGAGTCGCATCGCGTCTACCCTGGCCGCGGCCTTAGGCTGATTCAAATTTTATTTTAGAGTTTAGAAGAACATTAGAAAAGATTTGCAAAAAAAGAACTGATAAAATCGGGTCATTACTTTAATAGACGAAGGAACACTGGTTGTTGCCGCATGAACATACTCAAATATGAGAACCAAGTTTAGCTCCACATGGTTGCAATTTTAAATTTCCCTCGGTTATTCGCAGTTTTCAATGAAGTGTAATTTAGCTAAAAGGGGTGATGCACATTATGTCACGCTCTAAGTGGGAGGGGGTTTATGATTTTGTGATAAGCAATGCATGAAGTATAGGAAAAAACGTCACAAAAGGAGGTGTTAATTTTTCCTCAATTTAGCGTGACATAATAAATTGATCATCCCTAAACAGAACCCGTCATCTACATAAAAGACATTAAATGAGAAAAGCAGTAACGACTTATACTTTATTTTTAATAGTACGTTCAGATTACAGAGTTATAACATGTGGAAACAGTTGTCAAATAATTGCAATACAGAAACCACTATCAAGATAGCGCTATAACATGTTATAACTCTGCAGTCTGAACAAGGCATAAACAACAAAAATCATTCTACTGACAAATCATCGTAACAATCCTTGATGGCCCCTCGATGAGCATGCCTGGCCCTATGGTGTCGTTTTTTATGCTCGTTCAAATGTAGAGCCGAAGCGAGAACCTCTCCGCACTCGTCACAGGGATAGTCCTTCTCCGAGTGCCGATAGAGTCGATGGTTATAATACGAAGCTTTTCTGAGGAACCGTTCAGGGCAATGGTTGCATCTAATGATTGTTACCTCATAGTCCGGATGGTTTTCCTCCAGGTGCGCTATCAGTTTGCTTTGCATGTAAAACGATTCCTCACACACCGGGCACGACATGCTGCGTGCAGCCTTTGAGTGCTTCGGAGCACCAATCGAAGATTTGGTCTTAAATGGCGGAACGATTCCTAAGTGGACTTTATCCACGTGCTTTTTGAGCGATGCAGACTGATTGTAACTGGCATCACACTGATTACAAGTAAACGGGCGTTTTTTGGTGTGGAGGCGCATGTGACGATGAAGGTTGGCACTATTGGTGTAGGTTTGATTACATATTGAGCAATCATATTTTTTGTCACTGTGCAATCTGAAATGATCGTAAAACGCTCGAGGTTTGTAAAATTTAGCACAGCACTGACAAAGTACTTTTTCGCTTTTTAGTGCATGTTCCCGCTGAAGATGCATGTCCAAAAGTTTCGAACTTTGGAGTATTTGCGGACAGAGATGACAGTTGTAGGCGCACATAGAATGATTGGCAAAAAATGGATGTTCCGGTAAACTGCCGTCATCGTTGTAAATAGCTTCATTATGTATTGAAGTAACAGAATGTTCACCCTGATCACTAGAAGTGTGTTCAGTTTTATTTGCTGTTGTTGATTTCGGTCTTAATCTTTTTCGTTGCGTTGGTTCGGCTGGAGTTGTATCCATTATTTGGCAGATGTCCGGTAATGTATCCCTGCATTGCACAGAACTGAAAAATATCACTCAGCATAATTTCATCAGTACACAAATAATCTGCTTACCTATACAGGTCATTTAGTGCTTTAGAATTATCATTAATTGTAGAGTAGAACTGCCACGTTAAATCGACTTTCACCAGACACTGTTCGCAAATATCGGTACAGAAATCATCTTCCTTGATATTAACTCCAAAGCAGGTTCGAATCACGTCACTCAAACATTGCTCACCAGCGAATGGACTAAGAACAGAAATTTGCGGTGCAGATGATTCCGTCTCAAAACAGAGGCGACACACAATGTCGTGCAACGATTCTCTCTTCAGAACCATCTGTTCAGTCATTTTCTGCATTAACCGGACTGCCTCGTCAATCCAACTCTTGCAGTCTTCCTCGGGCAGTTTTCGGAAAATCTAACACAAAAAAAAAACAATACATATTATGAAATGGATCTTTAAGAAAAAAAAAACAAAAAAGGATTACAAAACAAAAACTGCCTGAATCTGACCCGAGTTTCCGTTGCACACAAATGACAGGAAATATTATTGTTACGAAAACAAAATCAATCTTGGTTTGACAGGGCTATCAGATAATAATTATACCTAGGTATATTTACAATATGGAAAACTTGTTTAAAAATATATTTAAAATTTCATGTTGTACTTTTGAGTCCGTGAAGCGAAGAGACCGAAGAAACTAAAGCTTTCGTTATAAATAAAGTATATGAGATTTTCACGTCTGGTTGTTTGGTGCAATAATTATTGACGTTGACGGCGACTCTGTAGCTCTTTACTCCTATGAGAAAATCCATAAGCAAACGTCAGACTGTGCGTGAAACATGGCGAACTTTGTACTATCCATTCACTCCACCGAAAATTATCATAAGAAACTGTCTATATTTGCTAGAAGAGAAAATTTTTCGACGGTGCCGTCAACGCGAATAGAGATTGCTAAAGTCAAGAGCAAATTTTCATTATGTCGTAAGTAACATTCGCACCAATCCGAGAAAAATAAAGTTTTGTTTTGATGACCGAAAAGTTATTCCTATTTCCAAGTAAACACATATAATCTCATAGTGATAGCAATGTTTAACATATTTAGCAGGGTTTTAATCATACAAATGCAAATCGCTAGCTTTCATGCTAAAAAATACTGGTTTTTGAGTCAAAAGTTATTATACGTCGTTTGGTGGCCCCTATTGTTACTTAAGTCAAAGTGTATTTACCAGGATTTTCGGGAGAATTATCAATTACGTCTCCTTACGTGCAGCCCATTCATCATTTTAGGACCACCGAAATCATATTAGCAACAAACAGTTCGATTTATTCACTTTAATAATGAGAAAGCGAAACGACGAACATACACTTTTCACGGGTTTCTCAGCGCTGTTACTTAAGTCAAACGGCATCTCCATAGAAATTGGGTGACTTAAGTAACATCGAAAACTATTTTGATCGGAAGGTGATTACGTCAAAAAGCAATTTGACTGGTAAATAAATTAAAAAATGGGATTTGATCCTATATTCGGACAGTATATAGTGTAATAGCAGGAGAATCGATTGACACTGATAGCTCGACTTTGTTTACCTTTGTTACATTCGACGTAATGAAAATTTGCTCTTGAAGTATGATTGGTCAGTGATTTGTTTTCATCGGGAAAAATTTCCGCTATAGTCCTCTCCAGGCGGGTTCGTATTGGTGCGATTTGCGTGTGTTAGTGAGATGAAATTTTTTGTTAGCTGTGAGAAATTTTTTGTTTGCTGTAAGAACTGTCATTCTTAAGTAAAAATAAACAACAAAACGAAAACAAACCCTACGCTTACACGGTAACAGTCAAGTACCCTTTTGTGAGTAAAGGTTAACCCATTTTGGATAAAGGTGGCTTTACTCATTAATGAGTAAATTATTTTAACAACAATGAGTTTCAGCTAACAGTAGCTTACAAATACTACTTAATTGTTTTCCCACTAATCTGTTTCCCTCTTGCTCGCACTCGTTCGCTTTAAATGGTACAGTAGTGTGCGCCGATTAAACGTCAAAAAGCTCTATAGATACGTTTTCAGGTTTTCCCGAGGGGGATGAAAGTCCCAGATTTATTCAAATGTTGCCAAAACTAACTCTAAAGTTCGATTAATCGATTCATAGTCATTTTACCGATTATATCCGATATAATCTAGCTTAAATCTCTAAAAACGGATAATATCTGTTTGTATCGTTCACATCTCTATAATTATCATGACAAGTAGCGGTGACAGCCGTTTGTTTATAAAGAAGGAACATCGCGAAATCTCGACCAACAATACAAAAAAGCGAATAAGCTTTTGTAATCAAACTTCTAATGCTGTTTCCTCGTGAACTGAAGCTTGCATTGCCAAACGAACAACACCATCAGGTAGGGGAAATTCTCTGCTATTCGACTGGTTAGGTGAGCTTCGGTTTGCGAGATAAGGCCATTGCAGATTGTTTGATCCGCCCTTCTGTATTGTTATTTGAGCTCGAAATTTTTTGTTCTAAAACAAATCTATAGATAGAGCTGGAAGTAGTGCGTAACAGCTTTTGTAAACAATGACTTCTCTCGATGATTAATAGGAAATCAAGGCATGCCCACACAAACCAACATAACCATCATGTAAAGGAAGCCTTCTAGAAATCACGGATCACGGACTACCATTTGGACAACCCTGGCCAGAGGTGGCAACAGTACATTTTTTGAAAAACCATCGTCCAGAGCGAAACAAAACAGCCAGCACACGGGCGGCCGTTTATAACTACATTCCAAGCGAACAGCGGAGATAGAGAATAAATAAAATCTCGCAGCCTGATTTTTCCAAACAGTTTCTTGTAATGAAATTTTAGCTGCAGGCTTGCGTGTGACAGTAAATTACCAACTCCCTTATTTACGCATAATTTTAAGATCAATGCTTATGAGTGGTCAGTCTTCATTCTTATCTTTTAATTCCATGCAATAAACATCAAATAAATGCAGTAATTAGCCAGAAATCAGCAAAATTCTACACGACATAAATTTATGTCGCGGGCGCCGCCGGTCTTGTCTGCTTCTTTGTGCGAAAATGTTCTGTCGCTGGCAGAAAACAGTTTAGAAATGTCATGACATTTTTGCCGCTTGCCAGTTTGTTTTTGTGTGTCGTCACAATGGTTATCGCAAAAAGTATCAAATGTTAAGGAAAAAATGTTAAACTCCAGGACTCGTGCCACCACTGACCCTGGCACCCGGTGAACATAAGCATCGACACGGCATCTATGGTTTGGTCACGTTTGGCCATCAATGCCGGCAGTCAACGCTCCGTGCAGATATTTTCGTTGCCTCCAGAGTTAGAACTTGAAGCTGAAGGGTTTAAAACAATCACAGGTGCTCAGGAAGTGACAGTTCATATCACGCTACACTCTAAAAATAATATCAGCATAATGCTCGATGATTCTAACACATACAAGATTATCGATGAATAGTGGATGAAATCGGATAACATCGAAAGGCGTGCGTTAATTCATAACGAATCGAGTTGATCCAAAACAAATTCGAGAAAATTAAGTAAGTTTTATTGAAATTCGTTAAAAGAAATGTAGAACAGATTACTTTCGTCCCCCTCGGGTTTTCCATGTATTATCACGCGAAAAATCGGTGATTGACGTGTTTGTTTACAAATACAATAACGCCCAAATCTCAAATCACTCCGGATATAGAGATTGCTGACGTTTATCGTACGCACACAACGTTACGTATAGGCACAGACAAACAGACATAACACTCGCAAGTTGTTCATCGAACAAGCATTTAACGGTCAATTTAAAAGTATCGTAGTTGGTAGTACCGCCACCTGTGGCGCGCATAGTCAATTCCCTTGCGTTTGACGTTTACACACTACCGCCATCTGTTCAGCGTACTACCCACCACAGTGTATTCAACAGATGGCGGTAATGTTTTAGCGACGATGTTTTACAGTGATAAATATTCAATGTGTTATGTCTGTTTGTCTGTGGTATAGGTATAGTCCTCTCCAGGCGGGTTCGTATTGGTGCGATTTACGTGTGTTAGTAAGATGAAATTTTTTGTTAGCTGTGAGAAATTTTTTGTTTGCTGTAAGAACTGTCATTCTAAAGTAAAAATAAACAACAAAACGAAAACAAATCCTAAGCTTGTACGGTAACAGTCAAATACTTATTTATGAGTAAAAGTTAACCCATTTTTTTATAAAAGTGGCTTTACTCATTTATGACTAAATTATTTTAATAACAATGAGTTTCTGCTAACAGTAGCTAACAGTTACTACTTAATTGGCATAATAAATTATTAATTAATTAGTAGTACCACTTTTATTGACAATGGGTTAACTTTTACTCATAAATGGGTGTTTGATTATTACCGTGTAAGTATACACTAGTATGTGTAAAATAATATTATTAGATTAGTGTTCGTGACATCCTGCTTGGAGAACTCAATAGAGTTCTCCAGATGCACAAAAGTGTGCGTGAGACCGCGCGCTACCTTTTTAAGTAGTTGTGATATCGCGATACCTTTTTGTTTCTTCTTCTTCTTTATTTTTATGTATGGATGTTGGATTTTAGTGTTCGTGAGATTGCGCTTGGAGATCTCTATACGCAAAATGTTTTCAGCGGGAAAAAAAACTTCATTGAGTTCTCCAAGCAGGATCTCACGAATATAATAATAACATATTTTTACACACACTAGCGTATACTGTCATGTGCACGGTAAGAATCAATCATCCATTTATGAGTAAAAGTGAACCCATTGTCAATAAAAGCGGCACCACTAATTAATGAGTGAATCATTATGCCAATTAAGTAGTATTTGTTAGAGTCGGTGTATAATGAGTCACGCCAAGAGAAAAAACAGTTGAACTCGCATCACGGTTTCCGAAGGATTCCCTTTCTTATCACTTGGCAACAGAGGACTTCTACATCAACTTTAAATGACTTCTAGCGAGAACCAAAAATAACGGCTGTAGTGAATCATAATATCAGTGATTTTGTCAAATTATCTTATCAAAAAATAGTAGAAATTCTCATTACTGATCAAAACCAAACGTATCCCATGACCATTTAATGCTCGCTGCGTGTTTATGATGATTTCTTCAATTTTATTTTATATTTCATTGCAATACCTTTCGTAGACCTTTCATAGCATCGTAATGTTTATTTACTTTGCACGATAGATCAGTGCACGGTCCCTAACCTCACTTTGTGCTCCCTATCATTTTGCTTCTGAGTAAAAGAGATAGCAACGAATGGGAGCCAAAACAAACCACCCAAAACTGTCAAAACTTACGGGTGAGAGAAGAGTGCGGCAAATCTTCGTGAACTGATCAATAGGTAGCCGATTTGACAGTTCAATAGGTAGACTTGGCTTCACTCTTGGCGTGACTAAAGCCCTACAGTAAAAGTATGGACGTCTGTCAAAAGTTGTTCCAATCGAACCGTCAAAATGCACCGCTTTGCTCGATTGGAACAGCTTTTTTCAGTTTTGTGGTGACAGTCGTCCATACCCACATACAGCGGGCTAGTCGCCCACGGCTCGCCCCCGGACCGCTCGGCGGACTTGGGCGACTCGAACCTCGCGGCGCCGCTTGGTCCAATTTTGGTCGCCGGCGCGACGGGGGCGACCATATTTGCAACATTTGGGCGCCTGAGGCGAAAACGATACCTG